AGACTTAACTGGAGTAGAGTTCCCTCCCAGTACAGTTAAATGCACACGCTGGTAACACATGAGCCCAGTACATGTCCTTTCTCAAAGCATCAGCTACCTTCTCCTTCCAAAGCACAGCAATGAGATTCTGAAGGGGTAAACCAGAAAGAGAAAATTATTTATTTCCTAGTAAGAGAGAGTGAGTGCATAGGAATTATGAATTAACATGCAGCAGGAATAAGTGGGAGGGGAAAAAAAAAAAAAAAAAGAGATTTCAAATAGTCTATAACTCAGAAATGTAATCGTGCCTCCTTGAGCATGTGCAATTCCATTAATCTGCTTTAATTGCATTAAATTCAGAAAGAGGCTAYTCATATGCTTAAACACAAACATATGTTTAATTATCCCCCTAACTGAGGGCCCAGTCAAGGATGGATAATGTAAACAAATATATACACATTTAAATGTTTCAAGATATCTGCTTCAGCATTCTATAAAGAAAAAAACACTCAAACAAGCTTTTTGGTGGAAAAACTGTTTCCTGGATGCAAAACATCCCCAGAAATCAGAACCTGAATTAATATACGAAATTATTTTTCTGAGAGTTGATAGCTTCTCATCTAATAAAGTGTTCAAATGTAATCAATCACAACTGACACAGCTCATATGCTATATATTTGCTTTCAATATGCCTCAGAATAGCAGAGAAAAACAGGTATCCTCAATTAAATTCAAATAATAAAGCTGTTAATAACTCCGTGTGTAGTTCCTACCAATAAACTGTTCACAAAGAACTGAAGTTTCAAACGTTAAAAAGCATTTTTATGCACAGAAAAAACACGCTGCATCTACCAAATGTTTTAGTCTCCAGGCAGCCACAACRTGAGTCTATTATTCATAATTTAAAATCTCTGTTCTTGTATTAATTAATGAAATTAATTTGAATAAATAATTGGATGATATTAAACTATTTTCACTCTAGTTTATGCATCATATCTATTAAAGAGATACTCTTCTGTGCTTCAGTTTCTCCAATATTTTATTTTAGAAGGTATTAATATTTAGTACCCTCCCCCAAAATGACCACTTCTATGTCTCTAAAACCAGAATAAAATGATCAACAAAGTGCTATCTGATATCTTCATGGTGTCAAGCAATAGCCCAAACAGAAAAGGTCATTCAGCCCCTAATGTGCTGCATTTCACSCTGGGGGGGATGAGAGTTGGGCAGATTTTGCATGAAATAATTTCATGATTTTTTTAAAAAATGAATTTTCTAAGACACTTCCTTTTCTAATCTTGCTTTTAAGGACTAAGTTTGGGCTTTTTGCGAAAGAAAGGAATTTTTTAAAAAGTAAAATAACTGAGAAAAATTGAAAGAAATTCATCTTGAAGCACATTTAGGACTCCTGCCTACAGGCCCTCAGGGGTATTTTAATTCCAGGAGGACATCGGGTGGAAGTGGCACCAGGGGCTCAGCGCGACCTTGTCCCCTGTGCACCTCGTAGTCCCACCCGAGTCAGCGTAACGGGCCGACCTGTTGCCATATGGAAAAACGAGGAACGAGGACTGTAAATAATTACATCACTTTATTGCCGCCTGTTGCCAAGAGAAACAAGCCCTTGTTGGCAATATCCACTCGTGTTGCCAAGTAACTTAATCTTTGGGGAAACTAAACATGCCGCAGGCCTCGCACGCCTCGCACAGTAAATATCTTCCCTCACCCGTATTGTTATGGCTCTGAACGCCTCATTTTGGGGCAGGTCCCCAGGTTAATCCTTGCTGAGGGTGGGCACCACCCCTCAGGACCTCAGAGGAGGAGGTTCCTCCCACAGCTTCAGGTGGCACCAGAGCGCTCAGTACTGGCCCAGTGGTTGGGGCCTCTTTGTAGCTTTTGGGGAGAAATCACAACTTTTAGGGCAACTGTTGCAGCCAGATGAGATGAACTATGTGGCTGAAGTTGGCCTTGCTCTGTCTGCKCATGCCCTGGACGCTTGGTGGAAGGGGAAGAAGGGGCCTCCATCTTGAGACTTAATGGCCGCAAGGCCTGGCCAGGGGGTGCAGGCCGTGAGGAGCCCGTCAGTGAAACATGCAGGCTTCAGCTCTTTAGACACCAATATCTACAATTGCCATTAACATACAAATTGTCCTGGACAACAACTTTGTGCTTCTTTCTTAAATTTGGTCCCTGCTTGAAAATACAGCAGTGAAATCCCTCCTTTCTTTTAACCCCTCAAGATTACAGGGCTGAGCAGGCCTCCCTATCTCCTTGTCTGGTGGGTCTTATTTTCTTTATATTCTTGGCTCTTACTGTCTTCAGTCTTTCTGAAACTATGAATACAGGCACAGGGGGAAAAAA